TTAGAATTAAATGTGTTTGTTTATTTACTTATAGTTTAATGCCACACCAGTATCCCCAGCTATATTAATGGAGAGAAAAAAAAGTGAAATACCTTTCTATACAAAGTTTAAATTTTTTAAATATATAGCCAAAGCAAACTTTTAAAATAGTTTTACATTTATCTTTGATAAAAACTAAACCTGGTCTACCTTCATTAATCTTTGAAAATAATAATAATTATATATATATATAAATATATATATATATACACACACACATAAAAACACACACTTCAATTTTTCTTAGACAACACAATTATGCTTCAAGTTCAAATAATTTCTGTAATGTGGTGTGCTACTGTAGGGGACACAAGAAAAATACTTACTGGTCCCATTATTGTGGCCTGCCAATGAAACACTGAAACAAGACAAACAGAAACGTCAGAGGAAGCCTGCATAACATGTTTATCTTACATTCTTAAAATCTTTCTAAAACTCTGAGATACAATTCTGATTTGCCAGCTCAGGATCAGTTTGGTCAGAAATAAGAGCACACTGAGGAATACAGTATAAAATATGATGAAGCAAATTTGGGTACAATTATGTTGTCATATTTCAGTCAAGTCTCTGGGGCACTAAGTGGGTCAGATGGTTGTATGATTCATGGTTTAATAAAGTGGCGACTCTTTTGAGGGAAGCTATATATGCTATATATCAGTTCAAACAATCCGTTGTCTTGTGGTTGAGCCTCACACAAGACATTGATGAGCAAATCTATCAAGGCACACAGAAAACATGATCAGACAGGAAAATTGAAGCCATACAGTTCCTATAAGTCACCATATTGTCGGTGTAGGACAGAAACCTTGTATCTTCATATTTCGTCTTTTTTCATAAATCATTACGATTGGTCAGCCTTTGTGTCTGTCTTTTGGTTTTAAACTGTCGCTAAAATCTCATAACTCCACTCCTCTCTATCGTGAATGAAGAACTGCGTGCAGTTCCGTCTCTACTGGTTTGCAATGCAAAAGTAAATAAAGAACTGGTTATTTAATAGGTACGGTGTTTTCTTTACTCAAACACTATATTTAAAGGCTAATGTTTTATGCATTGGAGGAGCAGAGAAGAGTATCTTAATCTAGCATTTGTCATCGAGTCATAGCCAGTATGTATTAAATAGCATGCACTCGAAAACATGAGATTTTGGCCAAATGACAGAAAAGAAAGGAGCACCCACATAGCTACAATAAACTTTATAATCGTTATGTTGCTGAAAACGTAATTTGATTCACTTACTGCCTCAGATGCGGCCGCTAAATGCGGTGACTATTTGTTACAGCTTAATGAATCAGTAGTAGTTCTCAAACTTAATTTAACATGTATATTTAAAATACAGGCTTTTATGATGTCTAACAATAAAAATAAATAAATAAATAAATAAACATGCTCAAGTTGATGCACCTTAGACTAAAAATTTGGCTTAAGAACTTATCATGAGCCAATTCAGTCATATTGATACGTGGTCTATATGAAAGAGAGGTTATTCTGGCAAACAACTCATTAAATGAATAATTACGAAAACAAAATGTTTTGTTTTTAGAATAACATGCACTTATGAAAAAAAAAAAAAAACAGGAACATGGATTAAAATTGAACGTGGAATTTGCTACATAATCAAAACAGAAATTACCAGTGAGCATATTAAAAATGTAAATTGAATTGGGAAGAATAAAAGCACACTAGTTTGTCAAATACGTCGGTGGGTGAAACGAGGTACTTACTGTCATCCCCTACTGGGCCCGCTGAACACTGAGCAGGTGGGTCACGGCCCAAATCATGCAGCTCCTGCAACACAACAGAAACAGAAATTGAGGTTAAAAAGTGCTCACCTACCATGACTTGAAACCCAGCAGGTAAAGCTGTGAATCACCTGTCCAGATCACCTTCCTGAAACACCTGCAGTACACGCTGCTAACAATGAAGCACCAAAATGAAACTGAGAAACTGACACCGAAACTAAACACTCCAAATATCTGTGCATTTGACAAAATGACAGTAAAATACACCAAAGCAACGCACTGGTTGGGTGACTAAGAAGAGAATAAAGAGGTCAATATCAAATCAGACACATAACAGTCTGTGTAATGGGAGTTATTGCTGCTGTAATGACATGAGAGGTGGACCACAACTTATGTAACATGTTTGTTTTCAGGTTAGTATGTTCTACAGAAACTCGAGACAATTAAAAGCTTAAAAATTGTCAGGAAAAACCCAACAAGGGGTCATAAGTTTGAATATGAATGCTTTAGACCACGTTCATAACGTCAATTTGCTTGCGCCACGAGCTAACCTCAAATATCCAGATATATAATGTGAGAGTTTGGCTTTAAAATCGAACAGTTAGACTCAAGCACCAAATATTTAGATGTCGATAAAGACAAAAAGATATTAAACTATATAAACCACCTAATCCAAAAATGTACTTAAAACACATAAATGCGAAAGCAAACTGATGGGCCAGATCATGCCTCTCCCTGAGCGGTTAGCCAGTTAACAACCCAAAACAGCAGGATATAAACAAACGCAACACAATAATACTGCACATTAATATATTTATGGTAAAAACACAGTCACTTGAAGATGTTGCGGAGGATATAAACGATCTTTGTTTAAGATTTCCAAACGGGCCTTTAGCATTTTTGGCTACGAAGGGTTAGCATGCTAACACGTTATCATGAGATAACATTAATCCTCAAGTGAGCCATTGCAAACCGACTTCCGTTTCAAATGACTGTTTATTTATGTTTGAGATAAAAAAAGCGATAAGAAACAAACAAAAGTGGAACAGTAGAATCGTTTTATATCAGTCTCACATAGTTCGACGGAGTGTCGCCAGCTAACATGCTAACCATTAGCCCGGGCCGAACCGTCGAACCGGGGTGCTTTACTACACTTGTCATCCCACCAGCGGCAAACTTAACACTTTTAACTTCTCAGTAACATCCCTTAAATCGCCTTTCCAGGTTAAGATATGAAGGATGATGCGGAATAGGGCAATGGCGCCCGTGACTTCCTTCTCTTACCTTGTGGATTCTTTTCAGAGCCATTGTTGTGCTGTTACTGCTGTCAAAAACACACAAAACCAGACTTATTCTCGATTAAAACGGCGCTTCTATAATTTCGACGCGGCCAACCCCTCGGGTATCGCAATAAAGGACGCCTTGGCTGATAATTCAGTCGGTGTTCTGTGTGTGTGACGGAGCCGGTTGGTGTAATTTGAAGGCGAAACTGAAAGGTGGTGCTGGTAGCGGTTCGGTCCTTCCTCCTGCAGCAGCGGCAGCGAGTAGCTACCGCATCACGCACACTGCGCTGCTCTAATCAGATCCTTCCGCCAATGGACGCAGTCGCCGGGGATAGATTGCGCGCCGACGCCAGTTGCTAGATAATGCTGTGGTGAATCACGAAACTGATGCAATAGCGGAGTCAAAATGGCGGCTAGTGCTCAGCGACTTTAATGCGATTGAGCCCAAATGAAAGCCTGTGGTTGAAAGCTTCCATTTCGAGCCGACAAACCAGCTTGATCAGCTCAGTCAGAAGTAGAATGGAAAAAACTATGAGAATATAAATATGATCTGACGAGATGTTTATTGTAAGTCATATTTACATTCGAATGAGGAGAGCAGTTTATACAATTTCATCATAATAATGGCAATAACATGCATACCCTCGACTAGAGGAAGTTTCACCATTGCGGAGGGATATTTGACAAATTAATGTTTTATCGTGGCAAAATACGAGATTATCGTCTATAGATAAGGGGATGCGTGTGAAACTAGGACTACTGCTGTGCAGGTTTATTTAGCAATTATTATTTATTTTTTTTATCAAACAAACATGCCACATTAAGTTATGCTATTAAACTTTACCTGTATATTTTTAGGTTTAATTTACACACACACAAACACACACACACACACGCACACACACACACACACACACACACATATATAATAATATAATATATATATATATAATTATATGTGTGTGTGTGTGTGTGTGTGTGTGTGTGTGTGTGTATATACACATTCTGATTGGTATTTATCTGATGCATTAGAAACCTGTATATTGTCTTACCTGCCTTTGTTCTCATTTCTAATATTTGATTGTCTAAACAATAATAGCACATATTTTAGGTGATTCTGTCTGATCCTCATAATCCTGATTACACAAATCCAAAAAGATCAAACTATCAGCCTATATTCCTAAAATACTTTGTTTCATCGTGATATCTTTATCCTGCAGCACAGATTTATGCCCATACCCCATTCAGACAAACACATTCATTGAAAAAAAAAAAAAAAAAAACAGGATGAAGGTGGAATCATTCAGTTACAATTGAGTAGAACAGAGTATTGTTGATGTGAAACATACAACGCAATACAAAATAATATTGATTATTAATACAAGACAACTAAAAACTGCAAAATATGCTGTGGCACCATAAAAGTGAATAGATTATGCAATGATACTATGATAAATATCTCGTTACTGAATGACTATTATACATTATTTACATGCTAAACTTACTTATAAAAACACAATGGTGTCCAAAATCCATAAAAAAATAAAAAAAATTATGCTGGTCAAAAAGATGTAGGTCTACTGGTAAATGTATTAAAAATGCATTATAGTAGGCTATATTTGTATTGTAAAAACATACTCAAGCACATTTTTAATACATTTAATAGAAGCTGCATCTTTTTCAGTAACGAAACAGCATTCTAATGGTAGGGCCTAATGCAACATTCTTGATAGATGCATGCATTCTAGATAATTTGCAGCCTAAGCCTTATAATTACAATGAAGCTGTTTGTTCTTTCAACATTCATAATACACATTTTCTTGTACTTTGTACATTCAACTTTCTACGCCATGAAGCATTAAAATGACTGACGTCAATAAAGCAGCAACAATGCCTTGGCGCGCGCGCGCTCTCTCTCCTCTCGTGCGCAGGGAAACCCCAAATCAACCTCCGCGTGATGGCGGTATGAGGCAGTCCCTGCAAGCCAGAGCGTGGGAGTTCCTGTCTTCGCCATGTCGGGGTGGTGCTGCAACTCGCTGAGGATACCCTGAACCGAGCAGAAGTCTCCCAGCCCCCTTCTGCTGCTACTGCTCCATCTATCCATCCATCCATCCATCCATCCATCCAGCTATCTGTCTACCCATCCGCCCCCACACGGCACCAGGCAGAGTCCAGCATCCCCAGCATCACTCTTTCCCCGGATCAGCTGCGACACATCTTTCCTTCTGACCGACTGTGGACTGAGGAGAGACGCACCAAGTGATGCGGCTTCTGCAGCCCGCGCATCCCGCAGCAACGAAGACCGCACGCTCACCCGTTAGGAGTAGGCGCACTTTCCCCGTTATCTACAACAACCCATGAGAATGTCCAGCACAGACATCATGGGTTTAAACCCTACCGACCGCGTAATCAAATGTAAGTGCACTGTTGTTATGTTCTCTTTATTAATCATACTCAGCACATTTAAGCATGCCGTTTTATGCGATTGTGAATGGTTTGCGATGATTCCGCTTCTATGATGATGCACTGTGAGGTTTTGAAAACGTAATAATTCATGCATCAATGATCGATCAGTGATCAAATGATGATCAGAAGGTGTGTTTGCATTAAAAAAAAAACTCTTTCCGTTCTTTATGAGATTGGCAAACCCATTAAGGCTTCCTATATGCTCAGTGATGCTGATGCAGGCGAGATATGGCAAGCCACTTTAACATTTATTCCTTGAAACTAACATCTATATTTATGTTATTAATTGCAAGTAATTCATGGATTAGTATCTTTTTCAGTTCTGCGACATTAACTTATATAGACTACTAATTCTTATTCTATAGTGACTAGCATTAATGCTCGTTCATCATAATCTAGTCCTTGTTTTTTTTGCAATCAGTCACTATCTCAAAAAAGCTAGCAAATAAAAAAACACTGTTGTTAACTGATAAGAATTATTACTTACAACTTGTAGATACCAGTGACTCAAAGTGATGTAGGTATAAAAGGACTAAAGGCGCACCAGGGTAAAAGGCACATTTGATTATATTCTCCTCTAAACCACTAGATGGCACAAACACTTGCCACAGAACTTTCCTAAATATCCTCTTTTCAAGATGCATTTGGAAATTTGGCTGCGATCGCGGGCTGGGCAGCACGAAGTTGACTCTATGCTAAATTAATCTAATATTGATTGCTTAATGAGAATCTGTAAAATTGTCTATATTTTGAGACAAAGTTCTTGTCAATGATTTTCATAAATAGATTATAAAAAATCTATATTAAATTGGCTGTCCACCTTAGAGATAATCACCATATTTATAATTAAATCATCATGTTTAAAAAAATATATGATATTAATAATATCATACAATAAAAGATATTTATTGTTACTAAAATGCTATATTAAATTTTAATGGGATCTCATTCAATGCTTTCAGAATCTTTTTGTTTTCTATATTTTTAAAATTAACATATTTTAATGAATTTTTATATTTTTTATTGAGCAAAAAGGAATTGTTTTATTTATCTAAATAAATTGAAATGAATACAAACTTTGCTAAAGTGATTGTTTTGAACAAGTAGACATTATTAAAAACATGTTATTTTTAGCTAAAGTATTTATATCTTTTAACCTGCGCAAAACATAGGCTATAAAAATTTAACATTTATCAGATTTTTAAAGAAAGAATTATGATATAATTCTGTTGCTCCATTTCTTCAATCACACATTATGGGTGTAGAGAAAAGAACATTTTAAGGTGTGCCAGTCTAGCCCCTTTCTAATAAGTGCAGTAATGTGAAGTAGGCCAGACAATAGTAACTAATGGAATAAGTACTTGTATCTACAGTATATTACGTTTACACTGAGTTTATACACATAGCAATTAAAAATAAATTCTAGAGTCTAGACACATACATCTAGACAACCATTTTAAAGAATAAATGTGAAACCGGCTAGCCACATTTGTGAAGCGCATCGATGGCTGCGCGCGCCTGCTGGCGGATAGATGAACTGTTATACAGTGCCAGGTTACCCCAGAGAGAGAGATAGAGGGGGGAGGAGAGCAAGAGAGAGATTAACATCTCGATCCAATGAAATATTTTTGGCAGTTTGAGGATGACAGCGAAAGGACGACTTAAAGGTAGCGTGGCTTTTGCATTGCATGCATCTCCTCCTTATGCTCGCCTATACGCATATTTTACTCCAATGTCAGTGCGCGCGCTTGTCGGATAGCAGCACTCGGATAACGAGATGATTGTTAACGTATCGATTGTGCGTGTAATTATGTAAAATGTGCAATGCCTCGAGCCCTTGCACGAGTGCACTCTTGTCATGCGGGGGAAATGCGCGCTGAGATGCTCGCAATGTCAGCTCGTGCACTGACATGGACATCCTTGCATAGATGGCCTATGAGGGTATGTTAGTCTATCATTCCGAAGCAGTTTATCGATTCGTTGGTACAGCGTTACACACTGTAAACAAGGCTGCACACAGAGGATGCTCTGCAGAAATCCCAAAGGCATAAAAGCTAAACGTTATTGCAGGAAGCAAGTTGCATTTCAGTGCATTGCAGTACTATATATTTCATGTGATGATGATGATGATGATGATGAGTCAATACGTTAATGCAAACCCATCAGAAATGCCAATACCAATCAATGCCTACAGCCATTTTATATTTCTAGTTTTTGCAAGAAAAGAAATATGATCAAATAAAACCCACTAAAAAGGCCATATAGAGAGGATGTGGGCATTACAGCATCACTGGATGTTGGGATATGTGGATGTGGATGTGGATGTATAGTGTGGGCGTTTAGTAGAGAGAGAGAGGGGTTAATTAGACGTCAGCGATGGCTGTGCATACTCAAAAGCTGCCCGAAGGCATCTGTTTCCTGTGTGTATGTGATCAACACTGGAATTTGTTTGGATTATAAAAGACAATAAGAGCGGACAGGGGAGGCATGCTTTTGACCACCGTACTGTGTAGAGCAAGGGAGGTTTGGACAGCGAGAGAGAAAGAGAGAGAGAGATGTGGTGTGTATTGTAAAGGGCTTTTCCTTAACCCTGGAGTGTGGCCGTCTGTAATTATTTAGCAACATATGCCATTCCGCATTAAATAATCATAGTGTGGCATATGTGTCACCATTATGTAATATTAACCGTTAGGTATGCTGGGTTATAAGCTTTCGGGAAGGTCTGTGTGAGAGCGTGTCCAGATATAGCTGGTGTATAAGGAAAGCAAAGCAGCTGGCGTGAGAAAGGTATTAGGATGCAGCTGAAGTGTGAAAATGCTTGGTTGTTCAGGAAACCTTTAGGGGAAAAGTATCCTGTGGTGTATCCATGATACACTCTATAAGATGGTAATACTTTCATGTGCATATATTGCATGGTATTCTATTTAAATATACTCCAATGTAGGCCAAACAGTACTATTATTACCATAGGTCATATCCAAAAATCAAGAAACATGCTACCAAGCATGACGTTACAACAGTATGGTTTTGTTACACTTAAAATGTGCCAATGGTACTTCCATGATATTTTGGACATGCAATTGGTATTCTTTGAAGTACCATGGTACATGGATTTCAGTGCTATGATATATTTCAAAGTACTGTAATATTATTATCTGAAACCATCACTTCATAATGGTATATTCCCACAGTACTTGTTTGTAAGAAGTATTTACACAGGACTGACAAAAAACCTTGGTATTACCATGATGATACATATAAAAAATATACTGTACTATGGTGCATGCCCAAAAACCTGGTAATACCATTGCATTTCACTTAAAAAGCATGATCATGCTATAGTATTTTAGTGAAGATGTCGTGTTTGGGATAATTATGTACTTGCTACTCCAATAAACTATGGTATTACCATCATATTTTGTATGTGTCCTAGTCTTGAAACCATGGTAAAACTAATAGTAACCGTGTTCAATATGGGATGATTGATAAATAATTATTTAGATGTTGCTCTAATATAATCCTGGTAATAGCTGTACCATGTCAAAAAAACAAAAAACCCACTTGCATACTTAACAAACATGACAATATCATGATGTTTTAGTGAAGAAGACGGTGTGCTTGGGATAATTGGTTACATGTTACTCCAGGAAACTTCAAAGAATACCATGTCAAACAAAGTATTACCATGATTTTGCGAATTAATCGCAATGAATGAATCGTGATTAATCGCATCCAAAATAAAAGTTTCGGTTTACATAATATATGTGTGTGTGGTGTGTATAATTATTTTGTATATATAAATAAATACACACATATGCATGTATATATTTAAGAAAAATGTGTTATTAATATATCAAATATTTATGTATAATATTAATTTTGTATAAATATATATATACAGTATATACATGCAAATAGTTCTTAAATATATACATGGATGTGTGTGTATTTATATATATACAAAATAATTACACACACATATATTATGTAAACACAAACTTTTATTTTGGATGCGATTAATCGCGATTATTCGTTTCACAGCCCTAGCACTCTAAAAAATTCTGGGTTGTTTTAACCCAATTTTGGGTCAAAAATGGACAAACCAAGCCATTGGGTTACAAATGTACACATTTTCCTAGGGAGTAGCAGAGTAAAAGTGGTGCATGGAAGATGACATGCTAGAGACACACAAAGTGAGTAAGCGAGTAGAGTGCTTGAGATGAATTTGCTCATTTCCACAAGTTATTATGCGCTGCATTCTCTGCGAGACAAAATGCGCCTCACTGCCATCTGTCTCCTGAAGGAATGTGGTAATGCGACAATAATGACTAGATTATTGTAATTGCATCATAGTGTATTTTTTACGATTGGTACTAATAGGTGTCCTTGGCCCCTAGGAGGTTTTAAAACAGAAACAGATTATTTGCACGCAGTCAGAAACACACGTTCAAGGCATTGTCGGAACGACTTCAAAGATCAACATTTTCTCCAGATTGTGTGTCTGTGTTAATTCATGCATGCCTCCTGCTGAGCACCGACACACAACACGAGCGAGATGTTAAAGCCCGGCAGTCGGCACAGAAACTAAGAGAGAGTGTTGACATGAGCCTGGTGATAAATGAAACGGGAGCAGGTGAAAGAAAAGAGAGGGGGAATGTGTGAAAAGTGCGGAGGATGAGAAGTGGGAGAGACGGGGAATTAGGCACTTGACAGCAGATAGATGGATGGATGTGCATGCGCTTGTTGTGTCCCAGCAATCTCTTTCTCTCGTACATAGGCAAACGTTAGGAAAAGAATTCTAGAGCACTGCATACTGCACAGTATACACTGAACATTGGCAGCTATTTAAAGTCACCATGAAATCAAAACTGATCAGTCTTTTTTTTTAAATGGAATATTTATATTGTTATATTCTTCTCTGACGACGTGTTTATTGGGGCGAGGGCGGG